TCAGGATTTAAAGAAAAAACCATCTGGTCCTGTTTTTGTCTTTACATGGCCGGACCCCCTGCTGTCACCATGTGGGGAAGCAGCAGCAGCATGAAAACTGCAGGCTGTAAAACAGGTGACCCCTCTCAGCATACCTGGCAACCAGAAACCCACAGGAACAGGGCACAGGTTGTATTTACACAGGTGAAAACTTAGACATCTGAAACAAACAGCATCTCTTTCATATATTGTTTATGTTTTTTGGCTGCATCAACTGCTAATTCGGTATTTAACGGAGTTGTTTACCAATTCAATAAATCGCTAAAACGAAGGTTCAGGAAAACCCTGTATGATCCACAGACTGCTCTGCGGCTTATCTAGATGTAGTAAGAGCAGATAAAACAGAAGCTGCAGAGATTAGTTTGAAGCTGCAGTGATAACGTCTTTAGCTAGTAATAAAATCAAGCCTCCTGTCTTTCATCATCCTCAGCCGTTTGATAGATAAACAATTAAATGATTATCTAAACACCTGAGACGTGAAAGTTCAGAAACTGTTTAAATATCAACGAGTTTTAACAGTTGATATTTTATTATTAAAGTTAAATAATATTTTTGAACATCTTTTCAAGATTTTGTGATACTTTTTGTTTATGACGGTAAATGCGACTTTTTGTACAGATCATGAACTATAATCTAACATCAATTAAGGCTGAGGCAGCTGTTTAGTACAAGTAAGAAAGTTTATGAAATTTTTTGAGAAAAAATTGCAACACCCAATTATGTATTAGCATAAAAAAGTTGTTGATTTTGTGTGAATTTCCATGATAATTCTGAAGAAACTGGAGGCACTGACTGGTATAATTTGGCAGTAAACAGATAAAAACTGCATTGATTTGATTGATAACATAATATTTAAGCACACTTAGTCTAGAATCCAGAGGGCCACATTAAAAACCTTATGGTTAAATGTGACGACTCTAGCTAATTATCTGACCAGAGTAGATGAAATAAATAATTTGTCCAGCTCTATTAAAACTGCGACAACCTTAAATTATGGAATTTCTCAAATTGCTAATTTTATGCAACATCAAAACATTAATTTAATGTAAAATATTTATGTAAAACTTTGACCTGTCATATCTTAGCAAAACAAATCCATCCAGATGATCTAAATCCACATTGTTTACTGTCTAACAGCTTGTATACTGGAACAGAACTTCTAAAGGGCCTGATCTGTGCTCTCAACATTTGTCTCCAGAAGTCTCTGAGTCATTTATACGAGCAAAACTAACACAGGCTCTAACAGGTTATGTTACCTTAACGAGCTAAAAATAAATAACAGTTTTTTTCCACAAAATGCCCCAAACCTGCTGCCGCTGAAGGCTCTTTAAATGCTAATGGATCTCTGCGCTTGTTGTACGAAGACAGGATTGGACACAGAGAGAGAAGTTGTTACCAGATCAGACAGCTGGACCAGAGCAGCAGCTCAAATAGCTAACTCCGTCCTCTTCCTCTGCTTAGTCTTCCTCATATTTGTCACCTGTTGGTTTTTCTACATTCACATCGATTTCAATGATCCGGCTCAATTTGAAAAGGCTTAATTATCGCTGTTTTGGCTGTAACTGTAGTGCAATCATTAGACATCATTTACCCAGCATGCATTATCCATGTGAATGACATGGTTTGTGTGACAATATTTCATTTAAATAAAATAAAATATTTAAATAACAAACATTTTAAATATTTTAAAAATATTACATTTTAACCATTTTATATTTAAATACTGTCACATGAGAATATTCCTGTATTGTTTTTACATCTAAACACATATTTCTCAAATAAAGTCTTTTGTTAAAACTAATCTTGGATCCTTCAAAGGACGATGGAAGCAGAGGGAGAATTGATGAGTCGGCGCTTGCAGGCATTCAGATCTCTACGGTGAAACCTAATCACCATGTGGCAGCTGCACCGCGGAGGCTGCTCCTTCTGCTGATAATCTGCATGAAGACAGATGTCAACATCAGGAAGATCGCTTGAAAAGGAAATCAGGACGAGTCTGAAGCAGGTGGAAACGGTTTCCCTGGTGACACCAGCTGCTGACATCTTGGATTGATATCCATCAACATTGTGTTTTCTTGAATGGAAAAACTAACCAACAACTAACATGATTACACTTCCTGAATGTGTACTGGTGGTTTTTGAGTGCTTTTCCCCAAATTAGTATCATCTTGAAAAAAAAAACGCATAAAAAGGATGAAGCAGCTGCTTTTAGAGTGAATTAAGTTCAGCAAAACCTCAGAAGTTTCCACAGAGACATTTTACTACATTTGACCAACATTGCAAAATTACTATGAGGAATTTCACAGTTTTATGCTTAAAACAAGTTATGTAACTGTGCACATTAACTCTGGATTCAGAGAACAAGATGTTCTGTCACTAAAACTTTGGCAATCAGGACAAATTTCTGAGCTCCAGCTCAGCTGAGTCGACCCCTGGTGGTAGAAAACAGTTCTGCATGCTCCCAGAAGGAAATCGAAAACACATTCCTGGTATATAAAAAAGATATATAAATAATTCATGATCTTAAGGTCGGGAGCACCTGCACATGTTTTGTTGAGAAATCAGTTTGTGTTCAGCCACTTCTGCAGAAAGGTTTTGAGGCAATATTTGCGGCGCTCTCAGTGGACAGGTGTTTCCAATACTCCCTCCATTTACATCCAGAAACATTGAAAACATACTTTAGCATTATGAGGTCCAGCAGAGCAATGCCACAGTCTTCAGTGATCAAGAAGAAAAGTCTTTTCTTTGCAGTCACTGTCTGATTTTGTGTCAGTTGTTGTCCCTTTTGTGTTTCACTGAGATCATTTCATGACTCGTTTTGAGTGAACTGTGTCTTTTTGTGGTCGTTTTGCATCTGTTATTGGTTGTTTTCAAACTTAACTGTGGATTTTTTTCTCTTTGGGGTTAATTATGCTCAACTTTAATCATTTCTAGTCCCATGTTGCCCATGTTGACTCAGTTTTTGGGTCACTTTACATCACATTTGTTTTATCTTATGTCTTCATTTTTGCGTTTTCTTTACTTCCTCTTTATTTCATCATGTACAGTGTTAACATTTTGTGATCTTTTCCTCTTTTTATTGGAAATGTATGTGTCAGACCAGGTTAAAGTCGTGCAAAACTGTAAAGTGGAAGAAAAATTTTACTTAAAAATAAAAATCATCTGTAAAAGTATTCTTAACGTTTCAGCATGTCATCTCCAGCTTCACATAATGACTGACATTTTGGCTCAGGTTTTTATACGAAACAGCTAAAACTGGATGGGGAGAGCCTGTCAACACCAATTTTTAAGTCTCTACAGTTATTCTCAATTTGATTCAGGTCTTGGCCATTTTAACACATGAACATACTTTGATCAAACCAATCCATTGTAGCTCTAGCTGAATGTTTGGGGTCATTGTCCAGATGGAACAGGAACCTTTAGCTCCGTCTCAAGTCGGATGCAGCCAATAAGATGATTTCTTCCAGGTTTTAATCTGAATTTAGCTGCAGCCAACTTCCTCGCCCCATAGCATGATCCTGCCAACTTCAATTTACACAATATTAGCTTTCTCCCACACGTAGCGTTTTGTATGTCGGCCAAAAAACATCTATTTCTGTCAAATCTGAGCCGCACACTTTCTTTGCTGTACACTTAACCACTTTTGATGTCTTTTACTCAGGATTGTTGGGTTTCAGGTGACGTAGTAACAACTTCACCCGATGCACATGGGGGTCAGGAAGTAAATGCAGCTCGTTTACTTCTGTAAAGTTTTTGTCGTGTACAGTTGCTCCAAAAACGTATCAATAAAGAGGATTAAAGTGGAAACTAACAATGCAGCGCCCACTTTCTGACAGTCACATCGTTTAAATTACATTGTCAAATATTTTATTGGACAGCTACTTAGAAAGACAATCATTCATATGTAAGGTAAGATATTATCTTTGTGTCATAGCTTGGTCACACTGTTTCTGTAGATCACTGCGAATGTTGGACCTACATTCTAGAAATGCAGAATGACTCAACATCCAACTCCGGCATGAATTTGGGTTTTTACAGAAGCTAAAGAAATAATTTATCAGGAGATCCAAGTTTATAGAAATAACACTGGTTAGCTCGTTGTTAGCGGTAGCATCTTTATCATAGACTAATTACTTAAAAAAGCACAGCTCACTGCTCACCTGGACAGAAACAAGTTGGCAGCCATTTAATGCATCTTTTGATCCCAAATGTTTGAGCCAACCTGAAACTAAATGACTGTATTCTCCAGGTTTTTGAGAACTTGCTTCTGGTTCGTCCTATGTGGCGCCGGACCAACTCTCCCTCTCAACGCCGGGTAAATCCTCAAGATTGTATCTTTTTTTACAGAATCAATAGCATAAATCTTCCTTTAACTTCTGGAGTTTTTAAGATGCTCTTTGTACACAAAACATACTTATATAAAATTTTTACTAATTAGATTACTTCTTAAGACAAGTGGTCATGCTTTTCTATTTGGGGGTATCAGAATACAAATGCATGCCACACTTTTCAGATTTTTATTTGTATTCTCTCACTTCACAGTTATGCACAACTGTGTGTCAGTCTGTCAATTGGATATAAATATAAATGAAAAATAAAGTCTGGACTTTCTCTCTGTGTTTCTTTTTTTAACTGAGGGAGCCTTGGCTCCTTGACCTTTGACCTGCTGGATCCTCTCACTAATCTGTGTGAAATTATTCCAAACAAGACGAGCCCATCACCTTTAACATGATCCACTGATGTAATATAAAGATCGTCTATAATATAAGCAAATAAAACGGGATTAACTTCGATTTAAATCATATTCCAGTCGGTGTGATGGAAGCCAGTTACTGCTGCTGTTGCAATAGGGCCGAGCTAATGTGGGGGGATCAGGTTCTGCTGCAGAACCATCAGGAGGAGTGATAAACCGGAGGCTGGACGTGACTCTCTCCTCTCCTCTCCTCCGCAGTGCACTTGCAGCCGAGCAGCTCTCCGGACAGGACCGTCTCCTCCTCCTTTATGTCACTTGTGTTTGCGCGCTGGCCATTGGAACAGCGGCGCTGCTGGAAGGAAGGCTGCGGAGACGCTTCCGTCCGACTCCACGGTGCGGAGGTTTCCCGGACAGACGCGTGACGGCGCGGACTCTTAATCCCGCTGAATCCCAATCCGACAACAGTCCGTGCCTCTGGAATTAAGATGAGCGCTCCTGCCGCTCGGCTCTCCTCCACATAGCGCCGCATTTCCCTGCTCCAGATCCGTTTCATGTGACTCCTGCGTACGAAGAAGGATGACTGCCACCTTACCGCTGGTGATTCTGTGCGCCTTGGTGAGTCGTCGCTTCCTCTGACTTCTGCAGGACTTAGTCATTAAGAAATGCGTGTTATTTTACGCGTTTTCTGTAAAATACATGCAGCTGTAATGCGTCAATAAACTTATTACTGAAGTTTTGCGTAAAAGTTTCCCTGCTCGGGTGTTCATTGAGGGCAAATCCTGCAGGTGTCTCATGCAGGTTAATGTTCTGCACCAAGGTAATTACCGCCTTTCTGCTGCGTTTTATCCTGGGTAGAAAATGCAAACTGTGCTGCTGGGATTCCCAGAAGACTGGAAATTCTTTGGAGCTACTGAAATTTCAGTAGATTTTGATTTCAAATCTGTATTTTTTTTTAAAGTAAAATAGATTCACTCAGCAAGAGCATGGGACGTTTTTCAAGTTTTCTGCATAAAAAGGTAACAATGAAGCATATAGGGGGCTCTGTGCTGTTCACAGCAGCTGGTCTAATTGGGCTGCAAGGCTCAGTCATCATGCAAACAGCCCTGCATGTGAGGGGACACTATGTTATGACAGCTGGCGCAAGAGAGTGGCAGCAGTCGCTGCACTTTGGTAGAATTAAATTTAGAAATAAACTCACAAATTGGCCATGAAATTGACAAGAGGACAAACGAAGCACATCACAGCTGTGCTGCTTTATGGCTTAATGGTGGCTCCAATTTTTATTTACCCAACTTGACCTAAATCTGTTTCAGCTGAGTGAAAAAATCCAGGACTAAGCTTTTGTGTGTGTGTGTGTGTGTGTGTGGTCAGGTAAAATGCATGTACGGCGTTTAAAGTAAAAACCGAGACTTGTGCAGAAGTGTTGACGATGACGAGGAAAAGAAGAGCAGAGAAAACGGGAGAGCAGGACTGAGAGGCAGGAGAGGAGATGCTGGCTGCTTGGTACATCTGTTTCTGAATGAAAGCAGCGAGAGGAGGGGAGCGACCAATGAGAGTCAGGGAAAAAAAGATGTCTCAGCATATGTGAATTAGCTGGAAATGAGGTTTTACTTATTACATAATAAAAGCCACAGGACATGAAAGTGATACAGGATAATCAGATTTATTTTTCTTCTGAAGAAACTGGTCACAATTTCTTGTCATTTAACTTCAGTTCTTGTGCCAGTGAGTTAAACTGTAAATACGTCAGGAGGGAAAATGAGAAACAAGAGCAGACCAGGAGAAATAAGAAGTAGAAGTGAGTCATATTAGACCAGATCAGTGAGCCTGCAACAGTTTTTTATTGAACGGTGTATTAGGGCAGTTAACTGTCAGAATAAATATGCGTGTTTATTTAGGCCTGTCTCCATAGAAGATGAATTATTCCACAAGTTATTGTTGTTTAGAGACCATTTCTAAGTAATGTAATTGCAAAATAATAATGCAAGAGCAAATAAAAAAAAAAATCAGTAAACTTTAAATTCTAAGAAACATTTAACACTGTAACTGGGTGACATTTTAAATATCCAAAATAAACAAACAGAACAACAAGTAAAATTAATTTTGAAGTCTTTGCACCAAACTGCAGTTTTTAGTTGAAAGAGAGAAAAGAAGAGATAAATCATGACAATGGAAATGACTGAGTTTGCTTTAATATACCATGCGATTAATTAATTTATTGATTATTGTGACAGTTCTATGTATATTTATCTCAAGTGCTTGAGTTACATTTGTGGAGAAAGATTGAGTTTAATATGTTGGAAACATTGGAGAGAGACAGAGAAGGAGCTTTCAATGAACAGAAATACTGAAGCTGAAGTGCTTGCATTAATCACAAGCAGAGAGAGGCTGCGTCTCGCTCACCTTTGGACGTTAAATAGGATGGGCATCTGGGTAATGTTGTGCATACATGACTTTATGGCTCCTGCCCGGCCTGAATGCGTTTCAGGTTCATTATTAGAGCTGATGTGCCTTTAGGGGAGCTATTAAGGCAACATGGCAGGTTAGTGCAAAGTCTTTCCAATACAGGCAGGCATAATGATTTATGGTGAACCTTTGTAAAACAGGTTATCCACCTGGCAGTAATCTATTCCGTCAGTTTGCCTATTTGGTGTAATACGTCTGTCTCTATTCTGCCAGGCGACGTTAGCGCTGGCGTCCAAGACGGAGCGGGCTCTGAACGTTGAGTGCGACTCTGGCCAGTTCACCACCAGCGGGGAATGCTGCATGGAGTGTCCACCTGGAGAGGGAGTAGTGGAGGAATGTGGCGCCGCTCAGACTGTCTGCGCTCAGTGTTTAGACAGTGAGTAATGATTTCTCATGGTTCGCACCTCTTTTGTACATGCATGTGCATCGAACTCATCGGGCTCTATACACGCGACTATCATTTTCAAGCATGTCAGCAACAAACCTTCTCATTGGCAAGTCCTGACAGATTGATTTGTAAATGCTGGATCATCACGAGCTACTGCTTCTGTGCCAATGGGGAATCGATAATGAGGGAAACCACCTCAGGGTCCTGAACAGGGATGGTGGATTGAGACAAATCCAGCTTTCTGTCATATTGTCAAGATAATATTAAAAAACAAATGTAACCGTGTTTCTGCCATAATTCAAGAGCTCACATTTTCAGTTTGAAAGCAGGATTTCATGTCTTTCTTCTCAAAACTTGTAATGCTCCAAACTTCTGTTCTCTTTCAAATATTCACTCTGCTTTCTCAAATCGTTGTCCTCGCGCTCAAATCTCGTCTCTGCTCAGATAAAATCTCCGCTTGTCGCTGCTCGCTTGTGAATCATTTTCTGCATGCTTAGAACAAAAATGCACCGTTGCCTGGCAACCTCTCAGCCAATAGAATCAAAGTGTAATACTAGGTGCGTTTGTTTCCTTCTAGTGGGTGTCCCTGCATGGATACTATCAACTGTAACAAAAAAGCACCAGTCGCCACACCGGCACACCCACTAGAAGGAAACAAACGCACCCAGTGCAACACTTGCATTCTATTGGCTGTGAGGTTGCCAGGTGACGGTACTTTTCTGTTCCAAGCGAGCAGAAAAGTTTTGAGCGCAAGGAGACGGTTTGAGAAAGCAGAGTGAATATTTGAAAGAGAGCACAAGTTTTGAGTACAAGCCTCACAGGTTTGAGAAAAAACACATCAAGTCCTGCTTTCACACTGAAAATGAAAGCACAAGAATTCAAAGTTTTGAGGACTAAAGACATAAAATCCTGCGTCCAGACTGAAAATGTGTTGCTCTCGAATTATGGCAGAAAAATTCCCCATGTAGCTTCAACAACAACACTTCCAGAAGTACCAATGAATGTCAGTGCTGTCTAGGACTTACTCTTGTTGCAATTAGTAATCTAGAAATTGATTATTTTACCAATTCTTTGCAAAAAGCTCAGGTTTTTTCAGTTTGGAGAGTACGAGAGTAATCTTCAGTTCCTAAGTCTTCCCACAGATTTTCAATTGGAATTTGATTATTTTAACTTGAATATGCCATTCCACTGTCCAGGACAGATTTGTCCTAAATCTCAAAACATTGCAGATAATCCAGAGAAAGAGAGAAGGTTTAAATACCTCTGTTATGAAAAAGGAGTTTTCAAAGTTTAACAGACTTTTGAGGAATAGATGAGCAAAGTTTGTGTGAAGAAATATCCGTGTTAGTGATGTTCAGGGTCATTCCACCTTTCCCAACTTACTTGGAAAACTTTTATGTGGAAAACTTTTCTGTCTACCCTTGAATTCAAACTTAATCTTTAATTAAATATAGGCTAAAGTGGTAAGGCAGAATCTCTGACAAACAGGAAATGAACTACAAATCGCAAACTTCTGCACCAGTTGATTGGTTCTGATTGGTGACTGGTAGATCAAATACTGAAATATACAGTTTTTCTCCTTTTCTTTAAATGCATCATAACTTTCAACACTTTTATAAGTCTGTAAGTTGATCAACATACAATATGTTTGGCATTTAACATAATTTAGCAGAAACCTGATACATTTTTGCAAAAACAGAAATATTCTTTCTATCCCTCTAGTACGTCACTAATTGAATAATCACACTTATTTATGCTTTATAATCAATGTTTTTTATGTCAGATTGAAACAACATTCATCTTAGATTTTCAGATTATAATCTCATGTCTTTAGTAAGTGTTGCAAACCTTCATCCTGCAAACTAGAGCACCTGTGCAGAATAAAAGAGTTAAAGGAAAACAGCTTTAAATATTTGTAAAGTTAAATAATCTTTCTTGACAATCAAGTCCAAATTTTGGTCAAAGCCAAAGTAAATTACTGCAGCCCAATTTTTCAATTTGGATATAAGGTAAGACTTCTGTGTTTTCTTGAGATAAAATGCTTGTAATGTTTTAAGTGGCTCCAAATGTCCCTACAGTTCAATTTAAGCTGCAAACCATTAGCACTTACTCTTTGGTCCAAAGCCGGAAAAACATTCAGCTTCAAACAGATGTTCTGAAAAGCACAAATAAATGCTTTCCTCTGCATTCAGGAGTCTCTGTGTTGCATCCTAGCTGCTACTTTTACACTTTGTGATGTTTGTGTTTAATTTTCTAAGCATGCATTAAAGTTTAGGTCGCTGATTTCAGGCATTTATGTATAAATAAACACAGTTTCACATCCCTTGGGTAACAAAACAAGTTTTTAGGATCCAACACTGACTCAGTAATGTCAGCACTGTTTAATTATGAGTCAAGCATTTCTTTCTTCCCTTTAAAAAGTTATTTTTTTCTAAATAAGCCTCTATTTTAGACTTTTTTTTTCTCATTTCCTTTTGCTCACTTGCAGCAAAAGGTTCAGGGAGAGTTTTTTTTTTTTCTTTGTCAGCATCTGAAGTGTGACAGAGCCACAGGGTAAAAGCTAAAAAGGACGCAAATGCTGTGAGCCAATTTCACACAAAACAACCTCATCAAAGTCAGAGTTAGAAAAGGTGCAGGCATGAAATCCAAGCAGTGCGAGAAACGCTTTGAATTAAAGCTCTATGCTAACGCCTTTGCATCAAAAATGTTAGAAATTTCTCTAAAAGCAAACAAAATAACTGATCGACATCATCAGGTAATGCATGCAAAAATATTTTTGATTAACATATTTCCTCAGATGTTAGTAGAAGTGTATTTTGTTGTTGCATAATGATTGCAAACACTCGTTTTTCCTACACTGTCTGCCCTGGATTTAAACGTTTCGCACCAAATCCCACAATCCGTTGTCACGTCTCCTTTCTCTTTTTGCTTTACTCCACCATGTCGTCCCCTCCCCTCCTTGCAGTAACTATGAGTCATCCTCTGTATTAGCGGATAAGATGGTATTAGAAAAGCCAGGCACCAAAGGGCACGATCTGCTCATTTATCATGCATACTGTTACATCAGTCTATCTTCACCCATTTGATCCAGTTAATTAGACCATATTGAAAAGCCTATTGTGCCTCCTATAGTGAACAATTAGTCGGCTCCGCTGTACAGGAATGGTAGTCACAGCTGATAAACACTCAACAATTAATCCAGAATACCCGAGAGGTTGCACCCAATTTCCGGTGTGAGTGTTTTTATTTTTGTTTCAGTTAAAGTAGATATAATCTCAGTGTTTGTGTGTGGCTTACAGGAGCACACACAATAAATAATACAGCTGAGCTGGGTTTATGTTGAGGTTAAAAGCTGGCCTACTAAAAAAAAACAAAATAAAAAAAACATACATCATAAATACATTTTCTGAAGTGGTGAGGTGAATAATTAATGAGTAAAATTTGACAAATCCATTTCCTGCTTCATGGTAAGCATGAACATATCTGTATTTACCATGAGACCCCTTTAATGTGCCACTTCCTGTTGGTTAGACCCCTCCCCACCCAACTGTCGTCTTCCTGGCCCGGGATGTGCATCAGTAGCCCTGAAATATTTATTAGTGTCCTCCACTTCTCTCTGTGGTCGAGGGAAACAAGACGAGCGAACCTGCCGCACTTAGCGAAGCATTCAGAGAGGTTTGAAGTGAAAACGGGCTGAATGACTGAGAAAAGCATGACGAGACGGTGAATCTCCAGGGATTTCAGGAGGAAGGAAAGTGGAATCACAGGCACGTCTGGTTGAGGTCTGGAGCCGAGCATCAGGAACCGCTCCAAACTTTGGATGGAGATGAATGAAGTGAGGAAAAGCAGAGATTTTACTTCAAAGCAGAGAGAAAACTATTAAAACGGGATGCAAAATTCAATCAGTTCAAAATACTTTAAAAATAAAAGAAAAATAGTTTAGCAGGGTAAGAAGAGGTCATTTTATTTATATGAATTAGAAAGAAGTACAAACATCCTGGTCCATTTATGCTTTAATACAACACGGAGAATCATATTTCCAATTGTGTTTCCACACCTGATAGTCCAGTAAACTTATTCAGTTAGGAACCAAAATTGCAACATTCGTTACATTTTCAGCTACACCAAGTCAAATGAACTAAACTCTTTGAGAAACCTGTTCCCCTCCTCGCCTGTGGGGGCGCTGCACCAAGACCTACTGACAGAAAAGACACAAAAACCTCAGAGGAAAACATGAACACAACTTCCTTCTTTAAAAATGGAGTGGTGTAGGATTTACCCACAATGCCCTGCGCTATAGTCTACTTTCTCCTAAAGTGGGATTAAGTAGAACAGCATATGAACAGCTGTTCATATGCATTTGAGCAGCACCAGAGTTTGTTTTTTCGGTCCGGACCTTCTCAAATACGCCAAACTTTCTACAAAAACAAACTAAAGTTCAGTCAGAGTTTGAATTTAGTCAAAGAAAGATCCCCAAATATAAATCTTTAAGCCAAACCTTCACTTCTAAATCTAACAATTTGTTCTCCACTTGAAGAAGTGATACTTTTTAGAATTTTATTTCATCATAAATGTTTACTATCCAACACCAACCTTCCCTCTTACCTTTTCCTAAATTTGGGAACATTTAAAAACACCTGTTTCAAATTTGGAGAAGGTCAACCAATGAAGTGTTGATTAAACGCAGTAAAGTTTAAAACAAACACAAAAAAAAAACACCAATTCAACTGTCAAACATCTGTCCAAATGTTGTTAATTTATCCTCCCTATGCAAAAGGTCACCAGTTTATGTGGGACATTTTGTGGAGGGGCAGAAACGTCCAGCGTCACTAAAAGCTTCCACTCAAAAGAGCTGATAGTGAAGATCGGTGAGCAGTTTCAAGGACATCCACCACTACATTATTAATGACACTAATGGGACCAAAAAAACGCGAGGGGGGCTGAAGTGGCACATTTAAAGTGCAACAAGCCCCCCACTCACATCTCACTGTCCCACCAGCCAACTTGGTGGCTAAATATGAAAACTCTAAATACTCATTTAATCGCTCAGCTGGGGACAATTAGAAAAAATCTCATATTTTATTTAAGAAGGCTCTCCCCATCTTCAACTTTCTTCTTTTAGCTCTGGATGAAAAGTGCTGACGCATAAATTGGGTCCGCACAACTCCTCTGTGGCTGCATATGGTCACGTTTATAAATGTTTACACGCAGGCACTGTGCAGAGAGGGCCCATGCATATGAGCTAAAATGAGCGAGGAAGCAGCCTGCATGCTGCGGGATAATTGATATGAATGAGGAAAGGAGCTTTACTGGTTCAGCTTGACTGCAAAGGAAACAAAAGCTTTCAAGCTCAACTAATTCAAATAATCGTTTACCTTGGAGTTCTGTTGTGTATCTGGAACTCGGTCACTGTCACATGCTAACAGGAGCCAGAGGAAACGCCAGATACAAAAAAAACGAGTCATTTTATTATATAACTTTTAAAGATATGGCGCTAACAACCGCCAGGCCTCGATGTAAATGCGGATTTATTTGCAGCTCGCACTTTATACAAGGTAAGAAGACTAACGTTCATATAATCTATAAGTAAGTAAGACTAGAAAGATAACAAATATTGCATTATGGCGAAGGTACATGTCTAATCAGACATTTATTCAAATATATTTGTTCTGAATTGCTTTAACTGTGTTTCTGAGTGTGTTTTAAAAAGGCCAGACTGCAGGGAGCCGTCGGCATGAAGAAAGGGTTCAGCTGCAGCCAGTTTCAGCAGATAACCGCTCGGCAACACGTTCCTGTGCCCTTGACACAAAGACTGCGTGAAACTGCATCACTTGTTTTGCTTTGTCATATGTGGACACAGAAGACATGCTGTGTAATTCTGAATCACGGCGCAGCTGTGTGACCTCTTTCTGCTTCTTACGCCCTCGTGGGGATTCGGCGGGAAGTGTTTTCAGCGATCGCGACTGAAACACGTCTCTGTCCGTTCGCCTTGCGAGTAAAGAGAATCTAACCCTCTTGTGTTTCCTGTGTCTGTTTCTGATGTTCTGGGTGTTTAAACCTGACAAACGGTTAGTAACCCTGGAGACAACGCCGCACCGTCATGTAGCCGAGCGTGTATGGAAAAAAACTGGCCAGCATCTCGTCTTCTGTACGTTTTTAATGCCGAAACACTGTTTACGACACAAATCCTGTGACATGAATTCAGACAAAGTTGGTAATTTGATCAACAGATTTTTTTAAATGCGGCCCGCTATGAGCCCCAATAAGGCATGTCACGTTTACAGACAAATTAGCTCGACTCGAACAAGTGGAAGTCATGAAAAAACTGGCAAAAACAACTTTAGAAAACAATTTCAGTTGCTCCGTCCCTCACATCTGACCTCCATCATGGCACCTCGAATGATTGAGCGTCGTAGTTGCAAAGGGTCAATATTTGACGGTACATCGGGAGCAGCGCTCTCAGGAGTCTCCAGTTAATCTATTTTACTTGACCCTTCCTCCTGCAGCCGTCAGCACTTTGATTACTAAATTATGTTTTTTAGATTAGGTTTGGGCTTTGAGCTCCGGACCACCCTCGGAGACCGTTTCCGATTATGTCGCCGTCAAGCTGCCTGAGATTCATTCGAGCAAATCTGCTGGTTGCTTGCACGTCGTCCCCTCTCCTCCATACCTGCCTCCCTATCGTTACCCCCATCTGCTCCTCTCTGTCTGCATGTATAATGTGACAGAGCTCGGCTGTACCGCTGTTTACAAGGTGTTTAAACTTCAGCCGCTGCCAACGTTGACTTGCCAGGGAGGTTCAGGAGGAAAAAAGAGGAGTGCTGGGACATTGCTGCAGGGGTATTCACACTGACAATACGCTGTTGCTCAACACGACAAACCCTTAAGCAGTTCTCATGAAAAAGAAAAAAAAGGAAAGCAGCACGCTCTGGAACATATGGAGAGGCAGATAAGAGTTGAGCAAACCTCCCACACGTCAATGCATGTGGTTTCATTTGAGGTTCAGTAAATCTTGATGATTTATGTCATTGCAACCCAAACAATACAATTCCAACCAGAGTAAACGTAGCAGAGTCTTTGTTTTGTAACTTTGAAAATCAAACCCTGGTGTTAATTAAGTGGTTTAAGAAGCAGCTTTTACATTCATTCCTGTTTCATGGTGTCATGCTATGAAGCTTTCATGAAGTACGGATCGTCTCAGGGATCAAAGTGTTCTCCTTTCTGAACCGCAGCTTTCACAAGGTGACCGCTCTCGTGTTTGGCACTTCACAGAAAAGCAAAACGCAAAGTGAAGCCGCTCGTGTAATGAATCTGAGCCGCAGGTTTTTCTTTTCTTTTTAAATCTCCCTCCCATCAGCCTCTCAGCTCGCCTCATGTCTTTGTCAACCACTAAGCCACGCTCGTATTGCACACAAACACTTTCTGTCTCTCACTGTATGCATAATTCAGCAGGCATCCAATTATATCTGAAAATAATTCTATATGAACATGTAATATTAATAGAAAACACAGCGCCCTGAGGAACTCTTCAGCGTCAGACCAAGCTAACTTGAGGTCATCACTTCCTCAGTGATGAACTCTCCTAAATTCTCCTGTTGCCAAATGTTCCTGGAGAGCAAATCTGAAGTGTGTGAAGTAATTGAAAAGCAGCAGGCAATTAGTTGCAACAGCTCTTACCCCTTTTCATTCAGCGCGCCTCTTCACATCTCAGCTGCTTTCCAGAGTCATTATTGCTCACAGTCCTTCCAAAAATCGAGGTGAAGACGCATTGTCAACTTTTTATTTTAGTTATAAACGTTGCCGAGAAGGCTGCATGGTGGCGTGGCATAGGAAACTGAAATGACAACATGCAGTGCAACTTTACATGCTATTTGCTAGCAGGAATACTGACCGGCTGTAAATGATGGAGACTTCTTGGCCGATTTCTGCTGCACAACTAAGTTATATAAATCACAAAACAGTCAATACAAGATGAAAATAAAATGTTTTGGTCTCTCAACAGACCAGTCATTATCTGGAATCTTAACCAGGAGTAGAAATATATTTGTTTTTACGTTTGTTTGGATCCCCGTTAGCCGTTGCCGTGACAATGGCGATGCATCCTGGCATCATAAAAGTTTAAAGATTAAAAATTATGGCAAATTTAATCTGATGTAACATCTCTAACACTTCGCACTGTTATTGTGGAGGACAGAATCAAAACTAACAGAGGTGCCTAAAACTAAACCTTTGCATGTTCTTCTTGTTTAAGCCAAAGCAACGCAGCCGGCTTTTACAGGAAGTTAGAAAAGTTGCATCTAAGTTTATAAACGGTGAAACGACAAACGATAATCTCTCACTTTGTTTGTTGAAATTGTTGATGATGTTTATTTATTAGAGATTAATATCCACCACTATAAAAAATTAGGAATGTGTCATATGTTGAACGGTGTGTGTTTAAAGTGAATGCATTAATGGCGTGGAAACCTTCTAATGTTAAATATTGAGGCAAAATACTCTGGAAAATGGTTGCAGATATTTACTTATTATGAATAAGAATTGTTGAAAGTTGTGATTATTTCCTAATTTGAATTATTCTATCACAATTTGTGCTTTTAAAAACAACTTTTAGTAAAAATTACTTCTGCTACATTACATTTTTCTTACCACAGCTGCATTCCCTTTGTCTCGTTTCTAATTTCAGAATTCAATAAAACGTTTCTTTACAGCGGTATATTTGGGTAGTTTTCACTGAAATGTTCCTTGTAGTCCACTTTACGGTAACTCCTGATCAGAACTGATCAAACAGGGTTATAAAACAGCTTCCAGGCATGTTGTATCACTTCCTAAGCAGTTATGATTGTCATGTTTTCAAGCTTTACAAGTCATTCAAGTGAGCAGTTCAGGATGCATTGTAGCATTGTTGCATCTGACTCATATGATTCTTTTGAGCCAAAGACTTACAGCAAGAGGGCATAACTTTCTGTAAAATTTACCAATGTTTAATTCTAGGTTAAGTCTGAGTATTTGCACAGGCTGGATTTTGTTTGACCGAGGCTGTAGACGTTCACTCAGCGCAGCACAAACACATGCAGATCGATATCATAATTAGGAACCCGAGGCTTTTGACTCGCTAGCCGACAAGAGCACCTTTCTTGTCCTGCAGCACAAATCACTGAGAGCCCTGTGGATCAATGTGTCCTTCCTGCTAATGAATGTGCAGTTAACATGATTAATGCCATCAGATTCACTGTTTATCTCCGTTTTATCTTCTCATGTTCCATCGGCTCTTCTGACTTTTCCTCTGATTCACTTGTCCGGTTTCGTCCTCTGACCTGCAGGTGAGACCTACTCGGAGAACTACAGCCACACGGAGAAGTGCAAGCCATGCACTCAGTGTACCGGCCTGATGCGGATGGAGACTCCCTGCACCGACTCCAACGACGCCAAATGCGTCTGCAAATACAACTACTACTTCAACAGCGTCTCTGGACAATGTGAGCCGTGCACTGTGTGCCTGCTGGGAGAGGGCGTTTACTCGCACTGCGACGCTTACCACGATACCATATGTGAGGAGTGTGTGGACGAGACGTATTCTGACCGGGAGAGCTACCTGGAACCCTGTTTACCCTGCACCATCTGTGAGGAAGACATCGAGACTCAGCTGTTTGAGTGCACGCCCATCAGTGACTCCGTCTGCCACAGTAAGGCTGCTGCTTGAATTTCTGACTCCAAGCTACTCTCATACCAATATTGACAAATCCTTCATGCATGTGTGACATGCAGTTGCATCAGTTTTTGAATTAGTAAGCTTTAGAAGTGACTTAATTCTATATTTTTGAGGGCAGAGAGATGTTAAGGCTGCTCAAAAGCCTGGCCTAGCTTTTGAATTATTCATTTTTAGCAAAAGACCCTAAAAACATAATCCGTAGCTGTTTTTCCCACTACAAATGTGTGCAAAACGTTGTCAATATTCCATGATTAATGTTGAAAAAACACAAGTTCACAACTTAGATGTTTCCATTCAGTAGGAAACACAAATTATGTGAATAAGTTTGTTCACGCGATAAGTGACGAAGAAATGCGCTGCTCTATCATCTTCCAACTACTTCCTGTCGTCTTCTTTGTCTTTTCCGGCAGTAGTAAAGTCCAGTTGTTGATCCTGACTTGTGTGTGATGCAAAAAAAGTGTTTTGCGAAATACACAAATTTTGCTACAGCCAAAACAAACCCAACACCTCTTCGAAAAATGTTTGTGTTTCCATTTAGCAATTTTATTTTTCTAAATGTTGAATATCATTTGGTTTGTGTAAGGCCTGATCTGAGCAGGCGGTTAGTCTTTAACACATACTAGGCATGACAGCAGCTTTACCCAAACACACAAGGCGTTTCCAGCCCACAAAGGGCCGTAAGTTATTTCAGATCGGCGTTGGAAGCCTCATTTAATTCTCAATCACACTTGAACAAAACCAGCGGGGGCGACCTGCACATGCGTCTGCGTGAACACGCGTGGTGAAAGGTCGGGCTTGGTCAGCTGGAAGTTGAAAGTTTTAGCATTAAAAGGTCAAAGACTGCAGCAGTGTCAACAGAGGGACGATCAACAACCTGCACGCCAACAAAGCTTTTTGTCCAGCAGTAAAGGTGGCTTGAAAACCCAGGAAGCTGTAAATTCACACAGGTCAGGCGAGGTGAGGAAGTGATCTCAGCGTTGCTTTGGGTGGCAGTGCTGACTTCTTGGAAGAAAAAAACAATAACTCCCTCTTGATGAACGTTCCATAGATTGTACGCTTTATACGCTTGCTTTCAGCTCTGAGAAGGTTAGAAAGATAGAAAATCTTTTGACACTTCATTGTTAACGTGCAAAGAGCCAAACAGCAAAAACACAAAATGTCACCAAGCAGTTTTCAGAAATGGTTTAAATTCCCCCTTTAATGGACTGTAATGCCTAGAAACGGAGGATTGAATGATAAGATCTGGACGTGTTGATGTTGTGGAGGAAGAGCAAATAAATTTTCGTCCATCCAGTCTGCACCAATATTTACCTTTATGCAAACTCCAATTCACTCTCCGCTGCATTTTATGTTGCATGCTACGAGTTTCCATAAATACAGTCAAACGTTGGCTTACAATATATGAATGTACATTAGCTACAATGCAGCCTTTTGCTGCCCATTTGTCGCCCACCCAGGCTGCTCAACTTTGACCTGCCTGTCCCGCCTGATGGCACGATAGCAGCCATAATGCTAGATGCTAGAGATGGCATCATAAGTGACCTTTTGAAAGAAAAGTCCTGTTAAACAGCGAGTTCGTTCCTATGGGGATAATGGCTGCAGACACACATGCTGTGATGGTGTTACCAACCTTCATGGTGGTCCTTGATAAAGATTTTTTTCCTGCAGCAAACATAAAAATAAGTTGCCCATCTGGGACTCACTTCCTGTTTCTGAATTCATTGAAACGCATGAGAAGTACTTTTAATTTAAAGTCTTTCTGGGAACTTTGCACGCGCTGTAGTGAAGATGCGAATCTCCTCTTCATATCCAGCTGTCAGCAAGTGTCAGTTACACAAAGCAGCGACAGAGATGGAGAAAGAGAACGAGAGGAAAACAGACGGAGAGCTGCAGCATGTGCTGTGCTGGTGTTCTACGGTGAACGGGGTCGATACGAGTCCTGGGATTTCTTCTGCTCGCGCTCAGGTTTCGCTGAGTGACCTCTGAGAGCGCGCGCGCACATACACACACACACACACACACGCACCCCCCCCCCCACACACACACACATGACTGCAGGACACACACAGGCTCTCTCTTGTACAAGATTTAGACTCTTTATGAGCATTTGGAATCGATAGAGCTGGTAGAAATATGGACTTAGGATTTTATCGCAATATTTTGTGGTGCTATTGTGATAATGATAAAGGTTATGATTAAAAAAAAGATTTATCACTTAATTTTTAAGTAATAAATAGTTTTGCAGGATGGCGACTGCATGGCACAGCGTTTAACAAACCAAATCTTAACTGAAATAAGCTTCTTCAGGACAGAAAAATGTGATTTATATCACTAAGCAGCTCTGATTTTTTATTTGCTTCGTGGAACTAAAAGTGGAGAAACTACTAAAATAACATTTTTAATCAAACTGTTTTGTCTTCACTGCAAAAACACTAAATCTTTCCCAGTATTTTTGTCTCGTTTCTCGTGCAAATAATTAAATTTTGTCTCATTTTAAGTGTACTAACTTAAAAGTAACTTTTCAGCAAGATATAGGAGCTTGATTTAAGTAAATTGACTTTATTGACTTCTTTTGTTTGTATTTCCCTTTAATTCATGTAAAGCACTTTGAATTGCTATGTAAATGAAATATTAACTTCACCTTAAAATTGTAAAATTTGTAAACATACAGCATGAGAAAAATGTCTTGCTATAAGTGAAAAAAATCAACCAATGGATCTAGTAATTTTTTAAATTATTATAAAGGGATTATTGATTTAAAATGATCTCCTATATCTTGCTGAAAAGTTAGTTTTGTCTTATTTCAAGTGTCCTAAGATATCTGCACTAAAACTAGTCCAAACATACTTGGTAAGATTTTGAGTTGTTCCAGAATTTTATCATAACAATAAATCAAACATTTTTATTGTGCTAATAGTTTTTTCACAGCTAATAACTGAAAAACAGTACAAAGAACGTGTGCGCTCTTCTCTTCCTCCTGCCAAGTGTAATTCCACTGTTGCATTGTTTATTAAACTCCCGGTGTTTCACACATGTGAACCTTTTTTTTTTTTTGATCTGCAAACTGACAGTCGCCTCGCGCCGTCCAGCCGAACATCTTGGTGCTGTGCAGTTTGGAAAGTTTCAGCATGTGCTGGAGTGTTTGTCCTGAGGAGAAGGGGAGGTTGAACACACAGATAACGCCAGATTTCTCTCTTTATTAGAGAGTCCATCACCTCCCGTCTCTTCCCACAGTGGCCCTCGAGTGGACAGGCGAGTGGAGAGGTGGAAGCTGTCCAGTGTGCATTCAGTGTCTTCGCCGCTGCAGTATAATTACTCCTTCTAATCAGAACACTTTACAGCAGCTTCTCTGTTCATCTGCACCCCCTCCCCACTCTCTTCTAACACTCTGCCTCTCTGTCTGCCTTCCCCTCCACTCTTTCTATTAACGCTCCCAAACAGAAGACAGAGCGCTCACTTGAATAATTTGTAGCATGAGTCTATATGTGTGTGTGTGATGCATGCACGCCAGGCAGTTGTGATAGAAGCTCAGCTGAGACAGAAGGAGAGTGTTTGGCGGCTGATAAAGAGGTCTTTGTACGTTTTGCAGAGCCTGATAGTTACTCATCTCCACCCTGAACTGGCAGAAGCCGAGACATCAACCTCTGCAAAAGACCCTGGGGTTAAATTCACCATAAAGACCTCAGTGGCTCTTAAAAATTAAATCATTTTCCTCCTCGCTCTTGTGTCCACACCCCGGTAATAAACACATCCCCGACGCAGCTCCACTCTCATAAAAATCTCAGGCTGGTTTTATTCTGTTTCATGAGCGTTTCAAACCCGCCGAAGCCAAACTGGGATTGTTAAAGGTTCAGATGCACTGTTCAGCCCCCCTGTTTGGCCGCGGGCCTGCGCTCCGGTCTGCGGCCAGCTGAGTTTGAGTCTGCAGATAGGAGAAATATAAAAATAAGAAAGCAGCTTTAAAGACGCAGCACCCAGCGCTCTCACCTTCAGTCTTATGTGACACATGCTGTGAGAAGATCAGTGGTTTTGGTCAAAACGATACAATTAACGACGAGACCCGAGGACCAGTAATCGCAACAGTTTTCTATATACAGACGGTACTTCAATTTTTGGGTTACAGCTAATATACGTAACTTTTTACATAAATTATTTTTATTATGATGATGTCATGATAGTACGACAGATAAACTGTGAAAAAAAATCATCTGCCTTCTCCCAGTGCTCCCAGTAATAACTGCAGAAATACACCAGCAAGTCAGAAACAACCAATTCCAGCCAGGAGGAGGGTCTTGGTGCCGTCAATCAGACTTATGCTCACCTGCTCACACCTGCTTTTTGCTAAGCATTTGTGGCACACCACAGACTGCCATCAATGCTAATCCCTGTTAGCATAGCCATGAATGATGGCAGATAAATAGTTTTCCTTGAACAATAATTAGTTTCTTCTAACATATTTAGCAACACGTTCACAATAGTGATTAACAGCGCTAAGACACTCCTCCTGGCTCTGATTGGTTGTTTTTGACTGGGATTGTTGTATTTTAGCAGAACGCAACGTTAGGATGTGGAGGAGCTTGATTTATTTTCACACATTATTTCATTTTGTCGCAATATGGTGAGAGGTTTAATAAATATATAAATATTTTAAGTCTTGCATTCTGCAGCTAATAAACAATTAGATTTTTTTAACGCATTATTTTAAAGTCGACATAAAAGTCGTGGGTTTGATGTTTTCCTGTTTTATTGCTAATCTATATAGATTAAACTTAATGGTAGCATGACTGGGAAGCCTTGGGCCGACAAACTGCTTATTAATAATTTAGTTCAGACATAATTTAAAAACTATTCCACATACCTCCTTCCAAAACAAACCACCAATAAGACAGAGAAGCAGATTGAGATCAGCTTTGTTCACCACTAGCAACAAAAGCTGCTACGCTAATTTAGCCTGTGAACATTTCTTTTGAAATATTTAAGATAGTAAAATTAAAAGCTGCTAAACAGTGATAAATAGATAAGTAGGATAAAACATAAGATATCTGTGGAAAAGACAAGAACTTCTCTCACAAACTCTGCATAAAGTTATTCTATCCGCACACCTTCACATCTTTCTTTTCACACCATCCATTCACAATTTATTCTATTTGCAAGCTCATGTTGCATTGCTAATAGCATCACCCAGCGCGGCATTAGCTGGATGATGTATGGCAGAGCTGAGGAAACCTGACTACATCCGAGGAAAGGTCAAGAAATGCATGTAATACTAACGCCCATGTTTCGACTTCTCCAAACAATCCCTCCTTTCAGACGGATTCAAATCAATACTGTTGCTGTAAATAGCTCTCTGCATTCTGCATGTTTCTAAGTATGGCATGCACATGTGCTGACTTTCTGCCTTCTGAGAGATGTTTTCCATGGTTCAGGAAACCAAACAGGTGCAGGTCATCCCATCATCGCTGCACTGACAGGCTTCTCAATATGCACACTTAATTACAAACAGAAACTTTATGTCTATGTAAGCTGCCCATTAGGATCCCATTGGACTATTTAATGCATAACCGTTTGTAAATTATGCAGCGAATCAATGTGGAGGAGCTTTACAGTCTGTCATGTCAGTAAAAACAGAGAATAAGTGCAACCAGTATCTGTAATGGTCCACTAATATTCTAATGCGCCACGTCGCTCTTCAACGTAATCAATAATATAACCTTAACAATCTTTAAGTGTATTTTTTTCATGAGATGGTCCACTAAGTCAATATACAAAGATGATGGGACTTTAATTTCTGCTGCTGTTATCTCACCCTACTAGAAGAGGAATGTGTAAAGTATTTGGTTGTTTCCTACTTATTTTGGATCAACATCAGTTAAAAACTGTTTATTCAGGGGAAAAAACAGGATATTGTTTCTCAAAATGCGTTTCTGTTCAATTATTCAGTGAGAGATTTCAGTTGTTACCAGTGAATAAGAGTGGAAACACATCTAAAAACAAATAAACCCAAACTACCTAACCATTGATGATTAGCAATTACCTAAATGATGCTAAAATAAACCGATGTGGATCAACTATTGATCCATGCTGTTAAAACAATTAATATGTTCCACCTTGAAAATCAAACAAGCTATTTTCAGTTAAATGAACAAATAATTTTAATCAAAATGTTTAAATTCAATCTTCTCCTCTGAGCTTGCATGAATAAAATAATTGAAAGATTTCACAAGAGTAACAAAAATGGATTTATTGATTCATGGTGTAAATTTGTTATAAACAAAGTGTCATCAGCATAAAGTTGCTACAAATCATTTTACTTAATTTTCTATGGTAAATTCCAATTTTGGAAAAATTAGGGCATTGCTTTTTTCTTAAATTCTTTCCTTTTTTATCCATTAATGCATTCTTACTTTACATTTGTCAAATGTTTTCTATATTTTTAAGCGAGGATTTTTATTTACTGTTAGCTTTAGACAGTTTAGAAGCTCTCAGTCAAACAACCTGTGAAGGACAGAGTTTCTTCGGCACAGAGGACGTCACTGCCTCATTTTCTGGTAGTTGGAGCTCACAGGTCATAGGTCATATTGTAGTGTAGCTTCATAGCTTCACCAACACTATGCTGATCACTTAGGAACAATTACCACCCACAGTCTGAAATGTCAATAAAAATTAAAAATCGTACCCAGAATTCATGAGAGCAGATAAGGAGAAAGTCACTGGAGAAATGTGATCCTTACAGCTAATCCTCTGGAGATCACTGTGCTCATTCTGGATAAGCTTCAGGCTTCCCTGTGATTTCTATGAGCTATTTCTGCACAGAAAAATAAACATTCGCAAGACAAGATGTTCCAGATTTTATTTAACGTGGTGGTGATTAAAAACGAGAACACTCACTGCACGGATAGACCTCAGGCTTCATGCAGCTGGAAATGAATTATAACTGTGTAACTTTTATACACTTTTTTCACCATATGCACCCCTGCCGATCAAAAACCGCCAATCAGAGGCAAGAGGAAGGTCTTAGCGCTGCCAATTACTGTTGTGCACTTCCTGCTAAATGTTTCAATGGCAGAAAAACGACTTGCAGTTACAGAAAAACTGTTTATCCACCATCATTGGTGGCAATACTCGCTAGCCTTAGCTAGTTTGTGATGAACCGGCCTCAGTGTAGCAGAGAGCAAAGGCAGCGGGTGAGCAGGAGAGTGATGGACAGCGCTAAGACCCTCCTCCTAACTCTGATTGGTTGTTTCTCAATAGAATAGAATATACTTTATTAAGTGGAAAAGAGGTCTTGTGGAAATTGCTTGTGCATTGACAAGCTACTCCAATTGAGGTTTTAAATACTCTGGAAAACATTAAGATAAAATGACCACTTTCTCTGATTTTACTTTTTATAGGTATTTGTTTGAGTAAAATGAACAGTGTTCTTTTATTCTATGAACTACTGAGAACATGTTTCCGAAATTCCAGGCAAACATGTTGTATTTATTTGCATTTAGTGTTTGTCCCATTTCAGAAAATGAGAAATGGTTGGAATAACAAAAAGGTGCTTTCAGTTCTCAAATAATGCAAATAAAAGAAGTTCATATTCGTTTAGAAACCACAATACTAATGTTTTAACTCAGGAAGAGTTTAGAGGTTTCATTTTTTCCCAGATCTGTATGTATGGTGTATTTCTGCTGTTAGTACTGGGAGCACTGGGAAAAGGCATGATGATAACTTTAACAAATACGTAAAACCACTTTTTATAAAAGCTAAAAACTCCAGCTTTAATGACATCATTGGATGATATAAACCGGTCATTAAAAGTTGATAATAGAGACTTTTAATTGTTCTAATCATGCTCAACAAAGCCAGAACCGTTGCGGGCCGAGTCCCCCGGTCTTCAGCAGCCTTGAACGAAGCCCCGGGGGTCGCCACAGGGTTAATCCCGTGAGGGGCCAGAACAAAGCTAATGAGGAGCAGCCTGAGGTTCTGCTGGGAGTTCAAGGCTCCGATCCGAACCAGGCTCCACATTTTCCTTCCCCAACTGTCGGCTGAGCTCAAAAACGTTTTGGTCTTTCCTTCAGTCTGCTTCTCCATTCCCCGAGGGGACAAATAATCAGGTGAACTTTTGGACCATCTCGCAGGATCACCATGTTGTTTCAGAAAAAGATAAGCACTATGGCATTAAAATAATGTCTGCTGGTGTGGGCGGCTTGCAACACGAAGATGGGAAATTACAGAGTCATTAAAGAGGAAACAGGACGATCTATGAAGCTTGACGTCTCTGCAGGCTTTGCCATGACAGAAACCAGATCCCTTCTGTAGCCGCGATCTGCCAATATCCTGGCCTTAGCAGAAAGATGACCTCCACATACAGTTTTCCAAGGATCCATGTGGCCTTAAGCCCGTGCAACGTGCAGACATCTCACAGATCAGCATGCGATGAGCAGAAACCTGGTGTGCACGGCCCGGCCAGGTCTGGTCCGGGCCGGTGGATGTCATAAATTTGCCTCCCCCTCCTTCCTGTCGGTGGTGAGAAACATTCCTTCTTCCTGCTCACAGCAACTTCTCCAGATCCCATCTGTCTATCAGAAGCAGCTGCTGCATCAGACATCTGGCTGCACACTAATCACCAACAAGTCTACAAGCTCTGTGTCATCAAAACAAGATTTCTATCTCTTACAAACTGCTGAATAAAAATAAATGTTTTCTTCTGGAGGTTCAATTGTTCTCCTCCATACCCACGAGAAACATCCAGTGAACATTTAACTTGCACAAAAATATGTTTTCTACATGTTTTTTAAAACTGACACCATATTGTGACAGTATGTTATGAGACAGATAATCTGTTGCTGTTTGAAAATTTTATCGCTGCCAATCATACTTGTGTATGTGACAGTTCAACGTACTAACTTACAGTTATCTGCCGTCATCGTTTGCTATTATAACAGGCCTTAGCATTTGTGGCAGGCAGCGCGTACACAAGTTGATTGACTTCACTGAAACCCACTCCCTGGCTCTGATTGGTTGTTTCTAGTTAACACTGCGAGAAAACAGATGAACTCAATTTTTTCACATATCTGTCTCATAGATTACTTTCATGACATACTGACAATTTCAACAAAAATGTAAAAAAAAAAAAGTTTTTTAATGAAAGTTACTTAGTGCAGGTTTAAAGCGTTTTGGGTTTTCCAGGAACTGTATGTCACATACATTCATTGATATTTAGGTTAAAATAAAAAGAGTCTTACAAAAAATCAATTTTAAATCAAACAATCAAGCCTTTCATTAAAGTTGTTTGTTTAGTGGATGGGAAAATCCTCCATTAAGGAATAATTGTTTTAACTAAATCAATGGAAGCGCAATTATTGGCTGTCAGTGTGAAAACCAGGAACAACGGACAGCAGTTAGTCATCTAAAAGAGTCAGACCTTTTGTCTTTTTGGGTTTGGTGAATTATTTCTACTTGGCCATATGTTTCTGCTGAAAGACAGATTTTAAAAAAAATATTCTATTTCAACTGGCTTGTTGAACTTTTCACCTTAACGAGATTCCCAAGGGCCTTGAAATCAACCATTTCTCCTTTTTTTCCTCCATACAGACCCAAACATGCCTACAGACTTCCCAATGACAAACAGTGATGCATCGAATTTTCCCGATTACCCGGACCCGGAAGGCTCGATCAGCCCGTTCCCGAGCGGAGAGACGACCACGTCCAGCGGCGGCGCTCCTCACTTTCTCGGCCGGGGCTTCAACGAAAACCTCATCCCAATTTACTGCTCCATCCTGGCTGCTGGTGTAGTCGGCCTGGTGGCGTACTTCGTGTTTAAGAGGTCAGTCAGAAGCTTTTCTGAATGAAAAACCCATTTGGATTTGGTACTTCAGGTGCTAAGCCATTCAGTGATTTATAAACTAACAATAGTGTTTTAAAGTCTATTCTCTGGGCCAGTGGAAGGACTTTACACAGTGTTCCAAATTATTATGCAAGTTGGACATAAGTGTCATAAAGATTAAATTTTTTGTTTTGCTACTAAATTTATAGATTATATTGTGTGTCAGGGCTCTTTGAATCACTATAATTAATTTCACAGAGCTGGTTGATTAGTTTAGCACAATTAAAGGAAATCTACTTAAGAAGGATGTTCCACATTATTAAGCAGGCCACAGGTTTCAAGCAATATGGGAAAGAGAAAGAATCTCTGCTGATGAAAATCATCAGATAGTGTAGATATTTAACAAAAATTGAAGCGTTATCGTTCTGCCAAGAGATTTGTGGCTGATTTAGAACAAAGATGAGTTTGTACAGACAAAGGCATAATGAGGAATGTTTCTGTTAGACCAATTCATGGGACTAAGAGAAGAGCTGTTAAAACGCCCTTACAAAGCAGTAAACAGTTATTTGAAGCTGCTGATGCCTCTGGAACCTCAAGGTGGATCATCAATCCACTTTTCCTGGAGATGTTCTTCAGGTGACAGAAAACCGACTTTGTAACTGTCTTTATGTGGCTCTGAAGGTTCAGGTCAGAGTCCATCACTACTCCCAGGTTTCGTGGCTCATCGCTGGTGGTTAGCTGTAATCATTGAACCTTTACGTTGATTCTAGATCATTTAAACATTTAAAAACATTTAAAAATGAAGAAATATTCAGTCCAGCTGCGGCTGGAGTGAATTTGATCAATTTCTTTAAATGAGCCATAATCATGTTTACCTTCAAGGAAGAAAAAAACAGAACTTTATGCATTACAGCGATCACAGATTGAGGCTGCAGCTCCAATCTATCCTACTGACTGATACAAATTCAGGCAGACACACATTTGAAGCAAGTAAACAAGCTGATTAGATGCATTGATTGTCTGAAACATGCCAACCAAGGGAAATTTGAGTGCCACACACATCTGCTCCACATTTACCCTTCGTCATGCACAAACAAGTGATAAAATGCTGTGAGTTTGACAACAAACTGACATTTGTAAGAGGTGTTAACTGCTCTGTTTCATTCAAAACGTCTTGAATTTTTAAAATCGTTAATTTGTGAGTTATCTCACGCAACTTTGGATGACTGGTCACATTTATTCACACATTTAGTTAACCTGAGATACAAATGTAAAGATTGCTTTGATTGTTGTCAGTTGAGATGGTTGAATAATTGCAGGTTTTATAGGAACTTTCCACTGAATATTAAGCAGATAAAAAAATACACACCAGAGAGCCTTGAATGCATCCTAAATGAGCTGAAGAGTGATGTCTGAGTCAATCTTCTAAAACTATTATCTCAGTGACAAATATACAAGCAAAACTGCCTTGTGTGCTGCAGCATACGCAATGGAAAATGTGTTTATTTGATTGTGAAGTTGGTGCAATCAAATGGAGATGTTGCTCCTTGAAAACATGTTTGTGGAAATTAGGTTCTGTGTTGTTATTTCCAATTATTTCCTGGCAAACAAATGATGGCCAGGAAATAATTTTCCCCTTTTTGCCCAAAATCAGTATTCAAAGCAGTATTTTTAATCTCTTAATTAAAATAAAATGCAGAATTATGTCTTAATAGCTGTGATGTTGTATCAGCATTGAAGCCAAAGGAGTACTGCACTGCAAAAACACAAAATCCTACAAACTAATTTTGGTCTAAATTCTAATGAAAATATCTTAGTAGAGTTGAAGCAACTTTTCAGCAAAATATAAAAGCTTATTTTAATAAAATAATTCCTTAATATTGATTAAATTGTACTTGTTTTATTGGCAGACAAATTAACTTGCACGATGGGAAAATGTCTTGTTACAAGTGAAGTTATCTGCCAATGGAACTACAACTTTCTCATCAATATTAAGGAATTGTTTACTTAAAACAAGCCTCTACATCTCGCTAAAAAGTTCCCTGAAAGTTAGTTTTGTCTTATTTCAAGTGTACTAGGATATTTGTACTAGATACTAGACCAAAGCTACTTGGTAAGATTTTGTTTTTACAGTGTAGACCAACACTGAAAGTTGCAATCTGTCTGTAGATGCCACAATACTGGAGGTACAGCTACTTTTAAATCATGCAAATTGCTCAGTTATGCAAAAATATTACAAGAATCAAGATTGTAAAAGGCTGGTAAAAAAAAACAAAAAAACCCATCTATGCAAATTAAAAAGACATAAAGTAAATTTCATCAAGAATTAAGTATGGTTTTGTGTCTTACTCATTCACAGGTGGAATAGCTGCAAGCAAAACAAGCAGCCAGCTAATAACCGTGCGGCTGCAAACAACCAGATGGTGACACCGGAGGGAGAGAAGCTGCACAGCGACAGCGGCATCTCAGTTGACACTCAGAGTCTGCAGGAGCAGCAGCAGCACGCACAGGCTGAAGCCCAGCCTCAGCCGTCACGCTCACACACACAGGAGCAAATAGGTGAGCTTTCAGGTCTGCTCCAAAACACTGCCATTAAGGTGAAAGCATTTTCAGAAACTTAGATGAAAGCCAAATAATAACACCCAGAAAACGTGCCTTTTATGCTCTGTGTATGCCGTTATTAAGGTTGGAAAAGTTATTTCTCTTTGCCTTGATACAGCAGGCTGAAGGTTTTATGAATATATCACATGGAAATAATGATATTTTCCACTTCACTTGTTATATCTGACATTTCATCATAGAACCATGCGCTCACTACCGAAATAAAAAATAAACTAATTCTGACTTTAATCTTCTGAGATCAAAAGTCGAGATTCTGGGATGAACGCCAAGATTTTGAGTTTATGTCAGAATTTAGAAAAAAAAACCCAAAAAACAACATAATTCTCAGATTAAAAATCAGAATTCTGAGATTAAAGTCAAAATCTGAGAATCTGAGATCAGAATTCCAAAAAGTTGGAATTCTGATAAAAAAAGTCAAAATTCTGAGAAAACACCCAGTATTGCTAGAATAAGGCCAATTTTTTCTGTTTATTCTCAGAATTCAGAGAAAAAAGTCATCATTCTCAAATTTAAAGTTGAAAGTCTGAGGATAAAAACCGAATCCTGAAAAGAATTCTCAGATCAAAGTCAAAATTGTTGCTTTAATCTCAGAATTCTGACTTTGATCTTTTCAGAAAAAAGACAGGATTCTGAGAATAAAGCACAAATGTTTAATGTTGAAATTACAGAAAAAAACTGTTTAATTCTCTCATTCAAAGTCAAAATTTTGAGGATAAATTAGGATTCTGAAGTTAAAGTCAAAATTCTGACTTTGATCTTCTGAGATCAAAAGTCAGAATTCTGAAAAAAAGTCATAATTCTCAGATTAAAGTGAGAATACTGAGAATAAAGCCTGAATTCTGAGATTAAACTCAAAATCATGACTTTAAACCCAGAATGATTTTATGTGGGTCAATCAGGTGAAAGCGCCAAATTTACACCTGATTTAGCTGCCAAAGGTTGTTTGGTGATTCTGCATGAAAACATCTTGAAACTTGAGCGTCTGAGGTTCAGTAAAATAAGGGCAAAGGATGTAGAAAAGGGTTTGACACGCATCTGAAGGCCCTTCGGTTTGGATCTGTACATGTCAGAGATAATCCGTAGCACCAACGTCTGATCTATATCTGTCTTCTCTGGTTTATATTTTCCTCCTGGGATGTTAGGAAGTATTTTAAGGTCTGATTTGCCATCAAGCCAGACAAAATCGAAAAAGGTTTTTGTAAGATGAACTCAGTAAATGAACTCTGGCATGGAACCAACATTATGCACTTTGCTGATCTATTATAAAGCAATTTACGATGCACTCAATTTGCTTCTATTGGTGGAGTGCATTAAGAGGGATAAACACAGATGAAGTTTACAGTACGGCAGTTTGTTAGCCTTCTCTCATTTGTGCATCACAGAGCTGAACACATGCATGTGAAAGCTCCTTCACTGATCAGTATCTATGTGCAAACCACACCCTGACGCTGTTTTGTGCAAAATAAATGCAGCACTGCACAATTTCCTGGCATCTCATTAGGGTTGCTTTGCTCCTGTAAGATTCACTCCAGTGTCTTGAGTTAATACTTTGAATATCTGGAGTTGATTGAGATCATATTTTACCGTAATTCAGCTCTGAATCCACATGTTCTGTGTTTAGTTTTACCTTCACTTATTTGTGGGGGTTTTCATGTATTATTTGGAAGATGCACCATATGTGGTTGCTCAGGTTTAAACTAGATGTTTTTGTTAAAGTGTCATTACTTTTTATTTTTCTGGTCATCGACTACCTTGCCTCACATTAAAGCAGATCCTGGAAACATAAATAAACTGTCTTTTGAGTCATGGGCACAAAATCAAACAAGTGCTAGGATACATGGATGATACATTTACTTCTGCAAAGAGTGAAGCCTGTCACGCTTTGTGGCTGTGAACAGAAAATGTTTGTATTCTTGTCTAAAAAAGGCCTTGGAAATAGGAATTTTTCTAGAGGTGAGTTTTATTGAGAACAATAAAGAACATCTTGAATTTTTGGATTTAAAAACCAAGAGGACCTATGACAGTTCATAGCTGGGACAGACCGGCCAGCAGGTGACACTTCTGCTTTTCTATCTGCTTTTCTATCTGGTAGCATTGTTTTGTTTTTTTATTATTTCAAAGCCATGTGAGTATTTGAAGTATCATTACATCCACTACAAATGTAGTTGATTGTATGAACAAAAGTGAGGCAATGAATGGCTTCCTAATATTAAGTATTCTGCTGATATCCAGAGGTGGACACAATACTCGGTACCCCTCAGTTATCGAATGAAAAACCCACAACGCTCACATAAATAACTTGTCTCATGCGTTTATTTATTTTTTATAATTCTGTTGAAGTATGTTTGAAAAGCAAAATGTCTGACTTTCATTTGTTTGTCTCCACAGAATTTGTATTTGTTATGATCGTTGTCAGATTCAAGTTATTTCTGTGACCATTGTGGGTTTTTCTTCCATTAGCAATTTTGTCCATGTGTGTATAAGAGTGTGATGCCGGTCAGAAGTGGAGCAAACAAATCAAAATGTTAGTTTTTCTAATTACGGCTGTTGTGTTTCCCTCATCGTGATGGATTAAAGACAGATTGGGATTGGTAAATCCTCTCATTAAAGTGTTTTGCTTTAGGTTCTTCAGGCCACCGCACCGAGAAATAGAAATGTTTTCAGTGTTTTTGTAATTGCTATAAGAGCCATTAATAAGATTCTTAAACAGAATAAATTTTTACTGAGTTTTTTTGTTATAAAAACCTCCTTCCTTTCTTCCAATCAGGAAGAACAAAGCAAAACAATAAACGGCTTTATACTGGAGAATCAGCTTGGCGCTGGTTCACTGACTCAACGTCTGACTGGTTAACCCTTTCCCTCGTTAACTTGTTGGCTCATTAGCAGGTGTTACGAGATGGGATCCAGGCCCAGTCTCTTTGGGTTTCCAAGTCGGATGTAGCATCAGAGTTTAACAGGTGCTAATTGGCATTTAGCACCACTTGTCTGTGTGAAAGCGGTTTGAAAAAAAGTCACATAAAAGAGGCTGTGGATTCCTCCCCAACCAACAAAATTCACACTATAAATCCATTATAATCACAGAGGGTTTCCTGTTTCCGGGAATGAAAAAAAAAACATGTTTTGCTGGTGGGTAAAAGAAACGGGAGCAGTTTAATTTATCATACGTCAAGTAAGCTTTTATGAAAGAAAGTAGAGCGAGAAAAATGCCCCTCAATGTGACTGACAACTTTCAGAAAGGGGGTATTCCCTGCATGAGTCACTGGTGAAGGGTGAGAGATGCTTCACGAAGGGAGCTTGGCCTCATTTCTGTCAGCTCATCAAAGAACCGTCTATCTCTGCAGCCCCTCGCCCCCTTTACACCCTCGCCCCTCTCAATCATGCATATAGATGGAGTTTAACATTTAAACAAGAGCCTCAGCTTCGCTCTAGTGCTCTACTGAGCTTCTCTGTCCTGCATTTGACCCCCGGAAAAACTAAACAAAAATAGCTTAAAATATTTCACCAAGTATTTTTAGTCTAGCTTCTGGCATAAATTTCTCAGTACACTTAAAATAAGAAGTATTTTTCATCAATATTAAGAAATTATTCACTTAAAACAAGCTCCTATATCTTGCTAAAACGTTTCCTGTTAGTTTTGTCTCATTACAAGTGTAGTAAGATATTTGCACTAGAAACTAGACTAAACGTACTTGTTAAGATTTTGTGTTTTTGCAGCGAGAGAGGAGGATTATCCTGCGTTCACACCAAACGCAACTTGAGCATCAAACACAGACACATTTTATTGATTTCAGTAGAAAGAATATAGACACTCAATATTATTTCCAAAGAGGAAAAAAAGGCAAAACCTCCAATGTGCGTTGTGCCCTCATCCGGCGTCACTGTTGCTTATTCAAAATAGAAAATGTTCAAACCTCCTTTATGATTGCAGGAGCTTTCACTGCATAATGTTTTGGAGCTACTTTCTCAGTTTCATCCACCATTGTACAAAGAGACCAAACAACAGCTCAGTCCAACAAGAGTCTAGAGCGATTTTGACGCGCCTCCACAAACTTTGAATGTAAACCTGAGGATAAGCGTTAAATTTCTGAAAATTTAACTTGTTCCAGATTTTAATATAAGCAAATACAAATCGACTTTTTCTAGGATCAAGGAACATTTATCACAATGGTAAAGTGAAAGCTGTGAAAAATGTGTTCAGATAATTGTACATAGAAGACAGAGGAAGAAGAACATTTATCTCAAGTTTATGCGCAACGATTGAGTTTCAGAATCTGATCCGCAAGCAGGAGCTCTGTCACGTGTAACTTTATACATTTCAAAGTTACTGTGCAATAAAGTGTTCTCACTGTAAGATTAGTAATGCAGTTTCAGGAATACACAAGGCGTGACTCATGACTGGAGAAACAAGTTTCTCTGTTATCAAACTGAGCTTCTGAAGATAAATGCACAGATGAGTTTCTCTAGATGTCGCTGGAACATTAGTCCTTTATGTCCTGGTGATAGAAGACCAACTTTGTAATTGCCTTTATGTGTCTTCAGAAACACTGAGTTCATCACTACACCCAAACTTTCAGTCCTGATCACTAGTTTCCATCTGTAAAAAAGTCAGAATTAACCATTATTCTGATGGTTTTATTCATCATTCCTCCTGCAGGGCTGCAGTTTCTCTTCCCAGAAAACCTCCAAGGAAAGGTGTAAGGTTTCTTGATCTCACAGATCAAGGGCAGCATCACCTGATTTATTATTTACAAAACTCGTCCTCTTTTTCAGCTGTGACATTGTGATAATAGTTTTAATGTGTGGAGAGAGAAAGAAAATCGGCAGAAAATATAACAAAATATTTATGTATTTATACAGCAATGCAACAAGAATGCACATTTCATTTAATGTTATTGCTAAAGTAATAAAAGCCTGTCTAACACACATAAAAGTAAAATTTTTTGTACGAAAGGAGGTAAAACAATGGATTAACTGGTTAAACTTCAAAAATTTTAATATATATATATATTTTTATGCCAAATATAGGCCAAATTCTGGAAGTCATAAAAATAACACTTCCAGAAGTCATTTTTCAAATAAGAAAGGTCAAGATTGTAATTTTACATATTAGAAAATTGAAAAACCCATGTAAGAAAACTATTTTTCTCATAGATCTGACTAAATTTCACTTCATTTTCATTCTATTTCTTATTTCATTCACTCAATATTACATTTTAATAACTCATGAAACAACTAAAATGAATCATGACTATAAAAAGAGCATAAATAAATATAAACTACCTCCTATTTACATAAAGAAAAAACATTTTAACTCAATACCATCACAGATGTATTTCAAAAAGCAAGAACATTTTCAAATTTCTTTTACAAAGAGATCCAGATTATTTTATCTCACTGGCAAAAAATTTTCATGAACTGACATATTTAACTTAAATGTATTTTTCCATCATTGCTATTCTGACTAAAACTTTTGAATTTGAATTTTTAAGGCTTTTTCTTCTTATAAAGATTTATAAAAAACATTTACATATGTTTATAAATTTGTTTATAAATAATTGTAAAATCATTTATGTAATACAATATTAACATTTTTACATGAATTCTGTAATGTACGTAAAATCACAAAATATTACAGGAATTTTGTAAAATGAAATATGTAAAATTATTTGTATGAAATGTACATTTTTGTAAAACATTTTTAAAAATAAATGTAACAAAATTCATGCACATTTTGTAAGGCTTTAATCTAATTTTGTGTGCATTTATTTGAAAAACAACTCAAAAAGAACTACAATTTAAATGATAAAGTATAAAATTAATTGTGCTCTACAAATTAAAGTTATTGAGAACTTTATATCTGAGTAGAAATCACTGCTTCCGGTGTTTGAGAGCTTCTGCTCTGAAGATGGTTCCTGTTTAAACAGGCAGTAATAAAGTTCTGGACTTTTGCCATCACTGATCCGAAGGGCTGCAGATGCAGACAGGAAGCTGGCGGGTCTTAATTTATTAATCTCAGTGCAGATATCAATCTTGATGAAATTTAAAGCTTCTCTCGAGTGGTTTCTCTTGGAAGGTTTTCGACGAAACGTTAAAGATAAAATTGGTTGCGTTGCTCTTCCCTGACACAAAGATGCATTGATGAGGAAAAGAAAACACCCAGTGCACTTCGGGGTCCGCTCAGAATCGTCTCTGCATTCCTGAGGCGTTTCCCTGGCTCCCCTCAATATACGACAGGTTAAGAGGTTTGTGGGAAACCGGAGCATTTGTTTCCCATCCGCATCTAGCTAATGGCTTCAGCTTAAGTGGCTCAGATGGATCCATAACACCACAGGGCCCCCTTCAGGGAAGAGTTTGTTTAGAGGAGGCAGCCTTTTGGGATTAAACCGCGATGGTACAAGTGAGAAATTTCTCTTTTGTGACGTATTTCTCTTTATTTCTTGCCTGCAGTGGTGAGGGTAGATGGGAGCCCGCAGCCCGACTCGCCTCCACCCGAAGTCTAAGGAAGGAGGAAGAGGAAGACGAATTGGAAGGGGGTGCCACGCAGAGAATGTAAAAGCAAGACACTGATTCATAATTCAAGTGGCCACAGAAAAACGTACACAAACCCTCCAATATGCTTGGGGCAGCCGACGGAAACTCCTCGTCCCTGCATGCGGAGTCAGACTCTGTCATATAGCGTGCCTGGACACTGAATCTATGGCAATATCAAACAAGAACAAGTATAACGACATGCAACATAGTTTTTAGGAGCTGCCAGATTAACCTGTACTTCCCTTTTAACGTCTCAGTTTTTAATTCCATGTTTATGCGTTTTTAATTTTTTTTTTCTTTATTTTTTCGGAGGGCATTTTTTTTCTCCTCCCGTCTTTCTCTGTTGGCATCAGAGATACAAACCCAGCAGGGTGCCATGAGCAATTCCCAGCTGTTCCTGGAATTTCTTCCTTCCCTTTCATTTAATGACCGATGTTCATGTCATTGTTTGAGAACGGCTACAAGGATTCACCCTAGTGACTCATGTTTTGATGAGACTGCTCAGTAATTAACTCTTTTTTTTTTAAATAATTAGATGGCTCTTCCTGTGTGTAACAGACATAAACTCCCTCTCTAGCAGTGCCTCCAGGGATTGTATTTTAGCAGCTTCATGTTCATAATGTTTGTCTCATGTTTGTGTTTGTGCGGTTGTTTCATTTCGAGGCTTTAGTTACACGTCCGAATCAGCAGGCTGCCTTCGCTGGATGTGCAACGCGAGAGGAACATCGCTGGACTCGGCGCCGCTGCTGACTCACCGAGATGAGTCATCTGAAGGAAAACGGTGGGGGGGGGGAATCCATTTACAGAGCCAAAAAACAAACAAGCAAACAAAAAAGAATCACGACTGCTAATTAAACTACTTAAACGAGTTTGGGACTGGGAAATAAAAAATCAAATCTGCAGGAGGAATCCCATCCACAATCATTCTTCGATGAAATTGGGACAGCCCTCAGAGGAAGCCAGCACTTCCACCTCCACAATCTCACTCCTACCGTAAAACACACAGCCTTACTTACACAAAGCTTACCTGGGAGGCAGGTAGTAATTACCTCAGGGTTTTAGCTTCATTTACCCTCTGCTTGCAACACAATTCCTGCTGAAGCCTCAATGTGACATCATATTTTCATTTTCCAAGACAGAACCACCCGACATTTACTGCATGTCCCAGTTGAAATCAAGCACTGAAGCACAGGCTTACATCTCTGACCTGGTGGTATCTGTTTTTTTTTTATGGAATGCCCCTTTAATGTGCCCCCTTCCTGCTGCTTGAAGCAATTGTAGAAGTGAGCTTGAATACCATGTAAAGGACACATACTGTAGCCGAGCTTGACTGCATTCATTGATTACAGTGGCACATAGATTCTCAGGATTTAACTTGTTGTAGTATGACTGAGTATTTAGACCATTTAAAACGATGAAGAAATAAATATTTTGATTTGGTTGTTTTACATCCTGTTGATGCGGCGCAAATTGTTGCACCGGATTCTTGCCGGTTCAACTAGCACCAGTAGTTCAACATGATGTGTTGTATGAGCACTTCGTTAATGGGAGACGGGTTATTGTTTACTAAGGGGTGGAAGCGAATGCTGCGTTCATGGCAAACGCGTTTTGAGCATCAGCCACGAATGGTTTACATTCAAAACCCATTGAGAGCGCATAGCTGCGCGATTTGAAGCGTTTTGACCGTTTGACGGGCGACCAACACGATGCTGGTGTTGGTAAACCTGAACTCACTCTCGCTGCTCAACGTGGAGCATCAACCAATCAGAGACTTGGCTGTGTGACATAATGGCCTTTAGTTGGCGTCCTGCCAGGAGATCCCGGCACCGATGCGGGTTAGCAGGTCGTCAAACTGGGCTCAGGTGAGCTGAAAACCTCACTAATATCGACCGTAGTAGCATTTGAAACTCACAAAACTCTCAACAAAAGTTTGCTTTTGGTGTGAACGCAGCATAAGGGACAGAAGAGCATGCGCGTTCAATGAAGAGCTAAAATCACAGCGTCATCTAGTGGCCTGGCATGACAACTACAGTTGAGTCAAAGTGTGTAAGCGGAAAATTTCCCCAATCAACATCCAAAAATACCGGCGGCTTCCATGCAGCGGTCTTCTGTAAACGTAGCTTTATTGACCATTTACAATAAATCTTGGTGATTCACAATCAATTACCCATAATACTAATGGACTGCAAAACAAAAAGTGGCAATTAAGCTAAATCAAAAGAACAAGCTGATGAAAAAGTAGAGCAAAAAAAAAAAGTTTAAAAAAGAAAACTAATTTATTTACCATTTTGGGAATTGCCTCACCAGCTAGCCTTTTGTGTGAATCTTAGTCAAAGTTTTGTGAAAACTACTTTCCCCTTTAAGATTTCTTCTGCTTTTGCTAACAGTTCAATTTCATTCCCAACCCTGTAGACCAACGTAATCCCTCACATAAAATCTGCCAGACAAAAGAAATAAAAAGGTCTTTTCTCTTTTTGACGGTCTGGCACAATTCATCTGGAATTACATAAGTGTGAGAAAAGTAATAACAGAAGACATCTATGAGGGCATGAATATGTTTTCACTGAAGTTTATGTTGCATTGTCCTGCCTAAACCCTGTAGCTTTAATGCATATTTATTTAACAAAGACACAAAATCGTAAAAATCACTCTGTACTGACATTATTCCCAATATTTCTTTTTTAAAATGAAAAATGGCTAGCTTGCAAAGTTGAACAAATTAAAGCAATGACTACTTTGTTTACTGCGTTGGTGATGAGAGCAGATTTCAGCTAACCTATGTGTATCAAAAGAATGTGTTCCTGTATGTAGACGTGGGATTTTTAGGTAAGTTTCATAGCTTTAGAATATAAGTTGCAGAGACATGAATGAATAGTCTGATCAGATGATAGTTGTTGGATTGGCATAGATTTGTCTAGAAATAACCAGATTGCAAATGTTAGAAAAAATAATAAAACTGTGTGAAACTTACAAGACATTTTGCTTAGAGAGTCACTTTCCAACAATATCCAAGAGGTATTAGTTTTGTCATTTTATTCAAGAGAAAACCTTTAAGGAAATGAAAGATGTTTTTTTTTTTAGCTTGTTAGCGGCGCTTTCAGAGTTTAGTGATAGATAAGAAATGTCTCGCCGATGGGAGAAAACAGTGAAAATGACTCATTACTCTGCATGGATCAATCACTCGGTCACAAACACCCCAAGACAATTAGACCTTCTGGTCGCCTCACCTTTGATTCATGAATCAGTGCAGTGTAATAAATGAAAGCAAACAAAAGTCTGCTGTAGTTTGCAGCTCTGTAGCTGAAGCTGGTGTGAACATGTGACTACACACACACACACACACACACCCACACACACACCCCTACACACACACAGGAGTGTATGATTCACTCCTCTATTGAGAGTGATTCATCCTGATCCTGCATGAGGAAATGACATTAAAGCAGACTTCTCTACACTTCGTATAAGTGACCAGAAAGTTGATTTAAAGGTTAAAAAAACACATTTTCTTCATCTCTATCCCCCGCTGAGGTTCCATCAGCCCTCCAGCAGTGCACTCATCCTGCCTAAAGCTGACGTATTCCCCTTTCTCCAACAGATTGAGACACTTTGTGAGAATGTACAGCCTGCGTAGAAACAGAGAAATATGCAAGACATGTTCAAGTTTTTATTAGGGGTGCACAATATTATCAGCATGGTATCGGTATCGGTATCAGCATGGTATCGGCATTTGTATTTGGTAGCAGGCTACATCGACAAAGATAATGCAGTATTTTAATTCCACAGTAGAAAAGCCATGTAGTTTCAGTGAAAAAAATATTGGTAATCAGCCAAATGTATTGTGCATCCCTAGTATTCATGTTTGCCCCATTTCTGTAGGTCTGATTTGTTTTTCTTCTTTCATTTCCAGTTTATTAAGAGTATCACCATCCTCAAAGTGAGCACTTATTAGATGTAATATGATTGCACTCAAAGAGTGTACCACAGTTCAAGTGCCTGTGTACAGTGTCTAAGGTTTTTTGAGTTCAGATGTTTTGTTACTTTAACTGTGTTTTTATTTTGCATCTTTTTTTCCCATTTGTGTTTTTTATGTAATTTCTTTTATATATTTTGGAACTAATGAAGGATTTTCATGAAGTCACAAACATGGAGCCTTGGAGACTCACGAAAACTGTAAAAACTTGGCAACATTATAGAGACTTACATTACAAACAGGTTGCCAATTAACACATACTGTATGTTAACATGATGTATTAGGGTCATGTAGCATTTTGAAAGCTTAAACATGTTACCAGGTACTTTCACAAGGCTGTTTGTCAACAGAAATGAGCGATACTGTACATATTTAATGCATGTACAGTAGTTTTATCAAGTACCTCCATTATAGAGGCATCAAGATATGTAATCTGCAGCATAGTGATGTCTGTGGGGAGGCTCACTGTGAATCTCTGAGATTTTATTACTTGATACAAACACATCAGGACTTGGTCCCCCCACCCCAAAAAGCTGAATGTCCTATGTAGTTACCTACTAATGTAAAATGCATTGTGTAAATGTGAATTTCTTAGAGTTGATACGAAATAGAAAAACATGCTTTAAAACGGAAAAAAAACTGAAATATGTGCAACGGTAATAAAACCACAATAAAAAGATTTAATTGCACCATTCGTCTCGTTTGTGTTTGTTGTTAGCTTGAGATTGTTTACGTCTAAATGCATAAATAGATCTGAGGTTTGTATTTTGTGACAGGTTATTTCCCTCCAAGTACTGCGATTTCCTCCTACAGTACAATAAATATATATTTTTGGGATAACTGGTCAATGTAGGTATGCTGTTTATCTCTGTAGTTGTGGTTCCATTGACATTTCAAAAATGAATTTGCTTCATATAAACATGCCAATTTTGAAAAAAAGTTAGGTTTTTGATCATGTTTTTGGTGCTAGAAAGAGGTATTTAATTGTTGTTTTTTTTGTGCAAAATTGCAATGGAATCACTTTTTGTGCATCACACGAGTCACATGATGTTACCACTGGGCAAATCATGAAGAAGACACCTGCTGCAGGAAGAGTGCAGCAGATGTCACGGTCGGCCAGCCGGGCGACTTTTCAGCTCTTCAGTTCACAAAACCACCAAAAAAGCTCATAAACCGGCAAACAGCCAAAACCGTACAAAAGGCAACAAGGTCAGGTTCTCAGAACCACAGGAGGTTTCAAACTCCGCTCATCCATTTTTAGCTTACAGAAAACACGCCAAGCCACCAAATAAACAAAAGTAACCGACCAATAACATGTAGGCTTTGGCGTGCCCACTCCCACAGATGTGAGCTGTGTACAAGATATTTGGACACAACAGATATTATTAACCCATAATTTTAAAACAGGGTTGGATATCCAACTGGGTAACTAATCTTCTGCAAGCCTTACCATCAATCTAAAAATAGAAATCTGTCCGTTTGTCTCACTGCAAGATTCCCAGCTGTTTCTGCTCATCAACCACTGCACATCATTGAACAATATTTGCAGATGGAAAATATTTCATACAGTTGTCAAACGTCCTGGGAGACAATGTCCCAGCACATTCACTCCAAGGTCAGACGGAGGAATGCTCAGAGAAACAGCAACCTAAAAATAAACACGACTTGTTTGGAATGGTTTCCATGAGAAAAGCATGGAAGCATGAAGTTGAGTTGTTCAAATGCAGCTATGTCCTCGAGACGGATGGAATAAAGTGGATAAACTCAGTGCTTTACCAATCGGCGCAAAAAAGTAGTAAACATGGATGCTAATAATTTTGTTGTTGGCCATTCGGATAACAACTTTATCCTCGTTATCGTTCACCATAGCTGTTTTTTTTTCCCGCTTGCAGGATGCTGATAAGTGACATTTCTTGTGCATCAATGACGTTAGATTCTGGTTACATTTGAAAACATCAGATACGTATTGGTTATCCAAGCGGCCTGGGTCACTTTTGAAAAACCCAAAAACACAACTTAAAAAATCTGAACTGGGTCACTTCGGATTGCAATGTGAACACAGCTTAAAACAGCAAAAATAAGCAAGGTAGTGGTGGTATTATGATTTGTTGGTGTTCTTTTGTCAAGTATAGTCTTTTAAAAAAGGTTTTGCAGGGCGCTGAAATGAGAACGACCTGAGAACATTTTTTATTTGTAGTTTTTGTGACTTTATTGCACAGGATGTTGGGAAATCATGCAATACTTCAGTAAACATTTGCCTTATTTTGAGCATTATACTGGGAAACTCCAAGTAAAGCTGCTTTATTCATATTTGTATGTTTTTTGTACCTCACATTTTAAATTATGGCTTCTTCTAAAAGACAAGAAAACCCAGATACATTTCTATGTCCAACTATCTCCCAATACAGATCGCTGCAGACTTAAGAATGGTTTCCTCATGCCTTCACATTTGCCTGCCCCAAAATACGAAGAGAGAATTTATCTTTGTTGGCTGTTCATGGTTTCTCGCCCTGCAATCTGCTGGTAGCAGCACTGATTCAGCTCATTATTCCTGTCTCTCTGGATTTGATGCAGAGCTGTGCAGGGCTGACACCAACTGAAGCATTACGGCCTTGGAGGAGGGCGCGCTTTTTAGAAATTTTGTCCAAATTTTGCTTGTGCTGCAGATTTTCCTCAAGTCTCAAGATGGAGAAAACTTGCAGAAATATATAAGTATACATTTAGACATAGCAGGTTTTTTTCCAGGCAGGATGGACTGGAAACCTGCTCTAACTGGAAAGGCTCATCTAAAATGTGCAACATTACATGTCTCTGATGGTTGTCTTTAAAATTAACTTCTAATAGGGGTGTTGGACAATTTGTAAAAACATTTAGCCAAAAAACATTCTGTTTACCAACTCTTTACATGACCGTTCAACACATGCTAAAAACCGAACCTCTGTTTATTGTAAATAATACGAATTTCTTTTCACAATGATCAGTCCAACCAGGATTTGTGATTGTTTTTGTGTTTTTTTTTTTTTTTTGCAATTAAAATGATATATTTTGTGTGATAACTTGGTGGTATTTCAAATAAATTTTAATGATATTTGAGCTAATGTATGATGTCAAACTTGCCTTTTTATTAATCACCGTATCGATACATGAAGAAAAGCTGAAACTCAGTGTTTGTGAGAAAAATCTGCAGTAAAAATCAGAAACAAAATGTGTGAAACTGTAGATTTTGTGTGAATCTTGTAGGAACTTTGCAGATTTGTTGAAAAACTGGAGGGAGTAGAGGGAGCCTGGAGTTTGACGCACTTGATCTAGAAGAAATAAAAAGTCACTTATTGATTTATTTGTTAGTTTCTTTACAGCTCTACCTAAATATGCATTTAACATTGAAATCTCTTCAAATCTTCTCTACACAAAAACTTAGTGAATGCATTTTTAACACTTGGTTAATCTAAATTTTTTATATCCATTATAAGCTTTTATATGCATTTACTCATATATTCCTTCACCCATGGTTAAATTGTTTCCTAACACTGTTTTTTTAACGTTTTCTCTTTCTTCTCTTAAGTGCTTGTGGTACCCAGTTGCTCATAGTGCACTGTTCAGGAACCTGAAAAACCGCCACTGCTACCATCTTCTTTTGGAGTTAACGCCAGTTAACACTGGTTGTTTGATCAGACAGATTCAGCTTAGCTTTAAAACCAGCTCCATGTGGGTTTCGGATCCAGTTCGCCATGTTTCTTTGTTTTGTTTTGTTTTTTCTGTAGTGATCTGAGAAACGTTACCAAAACCACAACCAGTTTTGCGCTTGCTGTAAAACACAAGACCTCTGGCTCTCTGGCTAGATTTAATTTCATACCTGACTGCTCCATGAAAGTATTTTTTTACTTGGATAATTTTTTCTATTTTCTGTGGAATCATTTCCATCCATCCATCCGTAGCCACTTCATGGTTTTCATGGCCATGGGGGAAGGTGCTCATCTACAGCAGTTCGTGTGCATGAAGGTATAACTGCACAGGCAAAACCTAGAGATTCATCTTAGGATCATTAATAAGTAAAATAATACAACATGCATAGTGTTGGAATGCGGAAAGAAGAAAAAGTATCCAAAGAAAGAAAAACGGGAGAAGAAGCTGGAAAAAATCTCAAACCACTTTTGCTAGCAAATCTTTATCTTCCGCTCTAAGAACATCTGTTCAGATCACAGTGCTGTAAAACATTAAACAGAAAAGTAAAATGAGCCTAAATATAGATCTTTCTACTGCTTTATCTTTAAAGTAAGAAAATAATTATGAAAGCATTTTCTGGAGGCAGCAACACATTAAGAAACCAGGGATTATGAGCCTGGCGGGCCACCAGGTTTAATTTCTGCCCCCACCAGGCTTAGCAATGCTCGTTTATCTAAGTCTTTTAAAATGTTTGCATCTTTTAAGACCTTATAGTTGGTGTTCAGGTATAAATTTTCCAATCTTTCAATAACACGTAATTATCCGTTTTCAAATTTCCTGTCAATTTTAACAAATATTAACTCAAAAAGACGACGGGTCGGTGGATGAACCCCAACCATCGGGCTTAGCAAGTTTTCTGAGGCAAACCATGGAAACAACTGGCAACTTCATATTTGTTGTGAGACTGATGTAGTTAAATATTTTACTCAACATTCTTGAGTTATATTTGACAACTTTATTGTTGACAAACACAACCAGATTCTATAATTAGAAACTGATAACTGGATAGTTGAAAACCACCTAAAAGCTTAACCGTCTCCGGAATCTGTCAAACGTCTCAGAAATTGATTTTGGACTCAAGAGGTTCACACAAAAATATCCAAAATGCTTTGCTAGAGAAAAAAAAAGCGTCAAGCAAATAAAAATAAAACTCAGAAACCAGAAAGTATGAAGTGACAGAGCCGCTGCCAAACCGCAGTTAAAAGCAGAACCATATGTGACTGTCTAAAGGCAAAGACTGTGGTTCTCTACAATTTTATCACCACTTAAACGTCTTGGGGTCCAGGAGGCTCGCCGTCTGTGTCCGATTTATCTTCATCGATAACTGCTTCACAGACACTAATTGGCATGATGTAAGGAAAGATTGAGAACAGTACAGATCCACTTGTGGAGGTTTTACATCAGTTTATGGGAAAATGCAGCACATTTTTTGGTGCTGAATAGTTTTTACCCCCTTCTGATTAATTTACATATAAGATCCTGAATGCAACCAACAGACCAGGACTTAAAGACAATATAGGGTTTTAATTTGATCAGATGGGAGAGTGGAGAAAAAAATCAAAACTCTTTTTTTCTGTCACAGTGAATCAAGATTTTGTCGTAGCAGATGAAAGCCATGAGAGGATGAAAGGAAACAGGCAACAATCTGAAACCTGTTTTGTGCACTGCGGATATATTTAATACAGAATAAAGGTTTCTAAAAATACTCACAAGCAGCTTTGCTTACAGACCATTTCACGTCCCGTTTGTTTCACTAGATGTTTATCAGAGATCTAAAACAATTACTACTCATTGAAACACAAGGATCACGAACAGGAAGTCGTTTTGAACTTTACCCAGCAGCCGTCAAGCTTCATCAGCACATTCTGCAACATATCTAATCAGCTTAAGGTGTTCCTGAAGTAAAGGTTCATCTGCAAACAGAGCAATATCCATCCCTCCAACCATTTTCTGAGCACCCTTTATC